CACTCAACTCCAACTCGTCCAGTTGGGTCCTCCAACTCGTCAAGTTGATCCTAAAATCCACGTGGCCATCTAAATCTCTACTCGACGAGTTGGGGTCCTCCAATTCGTCGAGTTGCCCTATCAATATGGACATAAAACAATTTAATTTATACTCGGGAATCGGGATGTTACAGTGGTTGTCTAGTGTTTTCTGACACGAGTGTGACGTCGGCCCAGTAGGTTCCGACCAAATAGTTGTGGTGTACCTGTGTTTTCCGGTAATATATGGGAGGGACGAGGGTGATAGTGAGGTGCTTAGTGGGTGAGGGATATGGAGGTTGGGGCCCACATATATTATTCAACAATTTTTAGTAAGTTAATAATAATAAAAGCATTTAAAATAAAAAGGGTATAAATGTCATGCCATTTCAGCCCATCAATCCATTTGGCATGCCACCTCAGCAGGTTACTTGTTGAAAAGGTAAAATAGGGCTAAATTGATTATAATAGTCGGTTTCTTATCATTTTTTTATTAATGAAGCTAGTTGTAAGACTCATGTATTATATTAGTTAATTTAAAAAAATTAAATATAAAAGTCTAAATATTTTAAAGCTGTAAATTTATAAGAAAATAAGAAAAATAATAAATTATTATAATAAAATTGTTATTTATCTTTTAAATTTAAACAAATAACTAAAAAAAAATAAAAAAAATAAAAACTAATGAGCTTTAATTTAGAAAATTTGAAATTAAAAAGTAAGTTTATTAATGAAATTGATATCCCTTTATTAATATATTTATTATAATTATTACATTAAATTATTATGTGAAATTTAATAAAATAGAAAAACTCATAAAATGACATGTGAAAAAAAAATTAATTTAAAATAATTATAAAATAACATTTGGCAAATTAAATTAGATTAGAAAAAAAAACGTTCATTTATTAGAGTAGATTTAATTTAATTTAAGACTAGATAATAAACTGGACCAAAATTTTAGTATTTTTCTATGGATTTTCCTTTAGTTATAATCTAATTTAAAAATAATATTATCTATTTCTAAATATATTAATTATCTTATTTAAGTATTAGATTTTATAAAGATACATACATATTGTAATTTAAAGTTTTAGAACTCATATATATAGCCGGCCTTTGTTCCTCTTCGTCATCATCGACGCAAGCTACAACATACCATCGTCGGCCTCTGTTCATCGATATCGTCACAAAGCCTAAAACGTTTTTGAGAAAACGAGGGTTTTGTTGGCCGTCATCATCGCTACTCCATCAGCTCCTCTTTCTTGATTAATTCCTACTGCTCGGTCTCTGTAAGTCTCTTTTCCTCTTTTCTGGTCCACTGGGTAGCATGTACGTAATATATGATAGACACCAAAAGGTTTCTTCTATGATCTACATGATTTATTAATGTAAGAATAAATACTATTCCTCTTTCTCTTTTCACTAACTATCTATCGTATACTCGATTTTAGGAACTATTATATTGCTTTCTTTCGCATGATTAATATTTAAATGCCTAGTAAATCACACAAATTAATTGTGTCCTCCATGTTATGTTCTGGGATGTTTAAGTGCAGACATTCCCGACTTTATATATATATATATATATATATATATATATATATATATATATATAACCAATTTTAGGAGGAAAAAAACCATAAATTAATCTAGTTGTTTTACTATGGAATGCTTGGTTACTCATGATTTTTCTGATGTGGTTTTATTTAGAAGTGAAGTTGAAATAAAATACTGAATAGCGATGCCTATATATGCACCACAGACCAAGGCTTTTTAGGAATTTGCACAATGACACCACACAGCTCTAAGCACCTTAAATTCTTTGATGCTCCTCTTCTCAGAACTTTAGTGTGTGTGTATATATAATAAGTAAATGGTTGTGTTACCTCTTGCAGTGCTTCTGAGGTTTAAAGCGGAAATACAAAAAAGAAAGTATCTTGAGCATCAGTTGATATGGAGAAGCTCCCGGGCGACGTTTTATCAAATATATTCATCCGCTTGTTAGCGAAACAGCTTGCTCAAATGAGACTCGTGTGTAAAACTTGGAATGCTCTCTTGTCTGAATCCTCCTTTATAAAATCTCACCTCCATCATTCAATCCATAACAACAAGAAGAACAAGGATGATGAGATTCTTTTGTTCTTTGAGAAGGCGATTATTGACTATTTTTCTAGTACATGTCCATTAACAGCACGCTCCTGTGGTTCTCCTCGTCTGGAAGTCAGTAATTTCATGAAACTTGAACTCCCAATTGATCCCCAACATGAAAAGAAAAAGCCTATGATCAATGTGTTTGGGTCTGTGAATGGGTTAATATGCTTTTCTTACTTAAAAAATCATGGTTATTTCATTCGCATTTGGAATCCTTCTCTCTCGGCATCGTTAACTCTCCCGCGTTCTTCTTTGTCGGACCAAACCCATCACCCGTATGTGTGGTTTGGTTTTGATCCGAAAACTGATGATTACAAAGTTGTTAAGGTGAGTTCATCTTTTTTCTTCCTAAAACCCGCCGACAGGGAAACACAACCACATCCACAAGTTGAAGTGTATAGCATGAGAAAGGGTTCCTGGGAGTCAGCATCCCAAAGGATTCCTTCCCACATCAAAATGTTTTTCTATCGAGACGATGTTTGTGTGGATGGGCGTATTCATTGGCTTTGTGTTACTGATTTGGAGGGGAACCCACGAACAATAGTGACATTTGATTTGGGTGCAATGACATTGGGTGATGAGATACCTCTTCCTGATTCTGTAATAGATTGCGGTAGGTGGTGCATGTCTGACTTGGGAGTTTTGGGTGGAAAGCTTTGTGTGATGTCACGTTGCGTTAAACATTATGAATGTAACGTGTGGGTGAGGGATGATCATACGGATTCATGGGTGAAACATCATTTGTTTTCCCAGTTTAATGCTCGTATAACTCCATATGGATTCACATCACACAACGAGTTTCTTTTTCAACTTGACCATTCTCCTCGTTTTGCTTTGTATGATCCGGTTGCAGCCAAGACTAAAACCTTCAAGATTAAGACAATGACACGACCGCTTGATAGACTTAAAATATTCAACTACGTCGATAGTCTTGCTTGGATACCACCTGCAGCCACTCAATTGTCTTCAGTTTCTTAGTTAGTTTCCATTATTAGTGCATTAGTTACTTCTGCGTTCTCTATTGACATTAATGTGGTTTAGTTTGTTTTTCTGTCGCTGCTATATTTATTTATATATGCAGAAAAGTTTTACCTTGTTTAACATTTTGACATATTGTTTTTTTTTCCTAAACTAAGTTGGTGGCATTTATAGTTTCAATCTCTACTGCTCTTTCCCACAAGAATTATATAATAAGCGTCTAACCTTATTAATGTAAATTAGTTATGATGGCTATTCAAGGAATTAATTTGTTTCATTTTCTTCTATACCTATATGATAAAAAATTTAACTTACTGTTTTTAACAATACTAATGTATGACTACTGCAATCTCGGTTAAGTACCAATTTAGATAGATGATAAAAACCCTACTTTGTCAAAACACTAAAAGGTTTGTAGATTATATTATATTGTTTAACTCCTGAACCACAAAGGTTGAGATGGATCCATCTATTCATTATAGAAAAGGCAGCCAAAAAAGGACTCTTGTAATTGTCAAAAAATGAAGTCAAAATTATGTACAAACTACTGATAACAGCTAAAAATGGGTCCTAATTCTTGCTTTTAGAGGGCACAAACTAGAAGTATGTTACCAAAATCCAAATGATACAAGCAACACTTCCTTGTTCACGTGTAGCAAGTATTCAATTACATTATGCAAACAGCTAGCTAGCTGCACAAAACAAAATCTCACACGGAACAGTATGAGAGAAAGAATATATATATATATATATATATATATATATATATATATATATATATATATCACTAGTAGAAAACATGGGGTTTTCCTACGAAAAAATAGCTACGGAAATTTTCCGTAGCTAATTAGCTATGGATTTTTCTTATTTTTGATTTTTCGGGCACTAAACGTCGTTTTTTTCGCTCCATTTTTTTCACACCTCTATTATACATGATTATCTATATTTTCACCAATTTATAGCTATTAATATCATTTATAAAGGCGTGTATACATACGAGATCCATTGCGCGTTTAGTGGTTTAACACTATAATGCTTACGAATACGTTCACATACATCTCACAAACTCATATACATCATCATCATCATCATCATCAACATCAACATCATCATCATCACTATCATCATCATCATCACCACCACCATCATCACCACCATCACCACCACCACCACCACCATCATCATCATCATCACCATCACCACTACAATCATCATCATAATGATCATCATGATGATGATGATGATCATCACCACAACCACCACCACCATCATCACCGTCATTATCACCGTTATCACCATCACCATCACCATCATCACCATCACCATCACCATCACACCATCACCATCATCATCACCATCACACCATCACACCATCATCATCACCATCACCATCACACAATCACCGTCACCATCACACAATTACCGTCACCGTCACCATCACCAGCACCATCATCATCATCACCACCACCATCGCCACCATCACCACCACCACCATCACCACCATCATCACCATCATCATCACCATCACCATCATCATCATCATCATCACCATCACCATCACCATCACCATCACCAACATCATTATCACCATCGTCATCGCCATAATAAAAATAGAAATAATAATAATAATAATAATAATAATAATAATAATAATAATAGTAATAATAATGATAATAATAATAATAATAATAATAATAATAATAATGATGATAGAAATAATAATAATAATAATAATAATAATAATAATAGAAATAATAATCATAATAATAATAGGAATAATAATAATAATAATAATAATAATAATAATAATAATAATAAGGAAGTATATAAAGGTAATAAGAGACCATCTTATGTTGGATGTGGCATCCCCGGCCCGATGGTTTGTTATCGGGGTGAACATAATGCGGTTTGGTGCGGTTTTAAGGCCAAACCGAACCGCAAACCGCATGGTGCGGTTTTTGCATTCTTAAAACCGTTGGGTGCGGTTTTTCAATGGTATGGTTTTTCGGTTTTTAAATGCGATTTCGGTTTGTATCGGTGCGGTTTCCGTTTTAAACCGTTTTTAGAATTTGATGTAGTTTTTTATGTTTTTGGTGCGGTTTTTTGAAATTGTAAGAATTGAAAAGCATGTCATGTAAACTTGTATTGTGCTGCTTTTTATAAACCATTCATTTTCAGCTTAAAACAAAAATACATAATCAAAAATTATAAGTCGCTTAAAATACAACATGTGATTACTCTCACAAACTAATTAATAATTGAAAGTTTGTTGATTTTAACTTAATTTGTTACAAGCTTATTTAATGTAATCGATTAGTACGTTTGGCTAACAATATAACATTTCTTTTGCACCCCATATAGTCTTATACAAACACAAAATAAACATATAATAAATATATTATCGTTTATAAGTATTTTAAATAGCATGTATATAATATACATTAACTGATTTATTACTATACACGCTTGCGGTGCGGTTTGGTTTTGGTGGACCGGTTTTTTGGATAGAAACCGCACCGCACCATTGACCTTTGGTTTTTGCTAAAATTAAATCCGCACCATTGGTTTTTGCATCGGTTTCGGTTTTTCGGTTGCGGTTTATTGCGGTTTTGTCGGTTTTTTTTAGTCGGTTCGGTTTTTGCTCACCCCTAATTTGTTATTCTTAAGATACCCATGAATCCCGAGTTCGAAACCTATCCCATTTTTTTTGCTAGCAACTCGGTACCAAAACCCCTTCATATTTGCAGCAACGGACAGAAGAAAGAAAAAGCCAAACGCAGTTGACGACCACAGCTGTGCTCCTCTCTCGCTCGTGTCCACTCCGACATCGTTCCTTTCGCCGCCCGTCTACCCTCCTCATCTCTCGGCCTCCTTGCTCGATTTCTTCCCCACATAAGAGAGAAAAAGCTAAACGCAGTAGACGAACACCACTGTGCTCCCCTGTCGTTCGTGTCCACTTCGTTGCCTTTCCTTTCGCTGCCTGTCGCCGCTTATCGCCGCCCGTCGCTGTTCCCGTCACCTGTTGCCTTTCCTTTCGCTACCCTCCTCATCTCTCGGCCTCCTTGCTCGATTTCTTCCCCAAAAAGGTAAAACCCTAATTTAGATGTTCAATTAAGTTCAAATATGTTGTTCTTGCAATTCTTGATGTGTGAAATGGAATCAGTATCTTTGCTATCTTTCATATTAATTTGATTTTTGTATGTTGTGTGAAACTGAATTTGGATTGTTTGGGAACTATACATTAATTCGATTTTTTTGTTTGTATTCTTCCTGTTCTCGCTATGTTCAGTATTGGTGTTGTTAGCTTTACCTAGTAATTTTACCGATTTTCTCTGATGCTAAGGTGAATCAAGTAATATTCAGTGAATCTGGAACTTTTCTGAATCCTCCTAACATTGTTTTGTGATTTATATATTCATTTTTTAACATAACAAGTGATTGAATTTGTTTCTCTTTATAAAAATGTAGCGTTTAGATGTAATCACTATGAGACGATTATACCCCTCATTTGAGAAGTTCACTCCATTGGTGATTTCACTCCCAAAAGTTCATGGCTTAATTTGATTGGGGATTGTCTACTGTATTCACAGATTAAAGGTTTGCTGGCAGCTTCAGTTTTTCTAGATATGACCTTTTTACCCTTGGGTCTACTTACTACTTATTGAGATCAAACTTGGGTGGCAGTTATTTGAAGCACTCTTTGTAGTTCATAGAAATTCAGCAATCTTTGTAGTTCATAGAAATTCTGTTTCAACAAAGTGTTCAAGACTGATATTTGAATCATCTAGGTAATCCTTTTTCATTAGATATGTGTAACAGGGCATATAAATTAAATTGGCTCTGACATGTATGATATATGTAATCGTCTTGCTCGAATGAAGATGATGATGAATGGAAATACATAGAAGAAGGGCCTCCTGAAATCATATGGAAAGGAAACGAAATAATAGTGAATAAGAACAAAGTCAAGGTGAAAAAGAAAGAGGCTAATCAATCTACCCAAAAAGAGGTACACAAGTTAATAACCTTTTATGTGTTTCTCACAGCACACAATCACAACTTCTTTAAGTCATATCTCATTTCATTTTGCAGGATCCCGATAGACCTACATCAAATCCACTTCCTCCACAATCTGAAGCTTATGCTGCTTTTAAGAATGCACCCATCGCTTCGACAGAGTTGTTGGACATTGTTTCACAACAAGTCCCAAACTTTGGAACAGAAAAGGTCAGTCTTTGGTTACCTCTTTTTGTTAGCTTGTTTTATAGTGTATTAAACTAATTTTGGTTTGTTAATACTTAATATTGCAGGATAAAGCTCATTGCCCTTTTTATATTAAAACTGGAGCATGTAGATTTGGTATGCGTTGCAACAGGTTCATTAGTACCCTGATAAATCTACCACATTGCTTATCAAGAACATGTACAATGGACCTGGCCATGCTTAGGAACAAGATGAGGGACTTGAGGTCTGTTGTTGGGTTCAGCCTGTGATTATGTGGTGTAGAAATCCTCTAAAAAAAGTATGGCTTAATTTTATCTGCTCTTCTTGTTGTTCTTGACTCTATGTATTGTATGTTTTGTTAATTAGTACTTACTTTTGTATGATATTTTGGACAATAGAATGAAATGTGTCAAACTTGGTATTATGGACGTTTTTTGGTGTATTTTATATGGTATTTTGGACAAATGTGAATTGAATGTGGTTTTTGACAAAAAATTGACAATTTTTAAATTTTAATTTTTTTTTTAAATAAAACAAAGTTAGCTACGGAATAGCTATGGATTTCCGTAGCTATTCCGTAGCTATCCATTTTCATAGCTATTCGGTAGCAAATCCGTAGCTATTTATTTCCGTAGCTATTCCATAGCTATTGTAGCTACGGAAAATTCCGTAGCGATTCCGTAGCTAATATGTAGCTATAATTTTCCCACGGGCCATTATGCTACAGATATTTTTCCGTAGCAATTCCGTAGCTATCTGCTTATAGCTACAGAATAGCTACGGATTGTGCCGTAGCTATTGCACCAATTTTCTAGTATATATATATATATATATATATATATATATATATATATATATATATGGTGTTGAAATCTATTCCACCTTCATCATTTTTTTGTTCCTAATCTAGCTAAAACCAACCCTCAGAGGCATAATCTCATCAGAGCCAACGACCTCTATAACTGCAACATCATCCATCATTGCCATGTAAAATTTCATCAGAGCCAACCTTTTCTTTTTTCGAAAACTTGTGTCTGTTGAGAGAGAGCCATGTACAATTAATATCAAGTAAAATATGAAGAAAACTACTATTATCTAAATGCAACCAATGGTTGGTTCACCGATCACAAGAATCAAACTTGTAAAAGTCCATATTATTTATTACCAATCTAAATCTAGAACTAGAATTAACGCTCAAATTGGTAATTTATGTAAATAATCAAGTAAGGAATGAGGAATTGACAAGATACATATCAAAATCCCTACCCATTCCTTTTCTATACTGAAACCCCAAAAAATGAAAAACTGGATTTTTGGGTGTTCGTGTGTGTATATATATATATATATATATATATATATATATATATATATATATATATATATATATATATATATATATATATATATATATATATATGTCTGTTACATTACAGGTCATAAATATGAAATTTCATTTGTCAAGCGATCAACTTATTCAGGATTCAACCTGCTATAAATTAACCATTTAAAAGATGATTTAGTAAACAATAATTATTAAATTAAAAGAGAAGTTAGAAACTACCTGATTAGTAGTTATGTGCTCCTAAAAAGATTATGAGTACCTTAATTGCCTTCCTTAGAAGAGACAATGAATGATTCTTAGAAATTAAAAACACCAAGGTTAATTATACTCCATAACTGTCTACATCAGATCAGAAATTAGAGGCTTGTAATCAACGAAATAGATATACAGTGCGATAATACAACATAAACCCCACTCCACCCAATCTTGATTCCAGAAAAGAACAAGGTCATATGATTTTGTTAGTATGATTTGATGAAGCTTCCCATAAAATAAATACACTTGTTACATCCTTCATTATTTGGTTCGATAAACAAACCAATGAAAGTAAGTGTGTTGCTATTTTTATCAGGGTAAATGCTCAAAATAACAACATATTTGTCTTATCAAAACATTACACACACAAACATACATTACTTTTAAAAGGCTATTCAATTTAGCATTGTACTTTCAAAATATGATGCTTTAATAAGAAAAAAAAAATCTAGAATTAAAAAAAAAAAAAAAAAAGGAATGAAGTTGAATCTTTTGTAAAAAAAAATACCATTTTGACTTGCATATTGGTCATTTTCCAGCAACTTTGGGCCAATTTTAACATATTTTGACAACAGCTTTTTGAAAAATGTCCTCACCACAATTTAATAATTTCGACGCCATACCATGGTTTCAGAATAAACATAAAAACAGTATCAAAAATTATCATTTGACACCATTTTTCAACAAAAAATGACTATATGTCACATGCATACATAGTCAACTATACACACATTCATTCTGTTAAGGATAAAAAAAAAAAAAAAAAAAAGAAGCATTTCAAAAACCAAAAAGAAAAATAGAAATATTATACACATATACATTACAGAAACTACCCTTTTAATGCAAAAAATGACAGAAATTACTGTTTAAAATGCAGAAAATTACAAAAATTACCCATTAAATGCAGAAACTTACATAAATTATCATTTAATGAAGAAAAACTCTTTTACAAAAATTACCCTTTAAATATAAAATAACAGAAATAACTTTTCAAATGAAGAAATACCATAAATAACCCTACAAATGCAGAAAATGACAACAATAACCCTTTAAATGCAAAAAATGACTGGATTCAACTTTGACAATCCATGATTTTAACCATAACATGTTTTTGACCTTTTACAAGTTTTAGTCATATAAGAGAGCAAATAGATTGCAAATTCTCAAATCAAAGTGGTCCAATTTTCATTGCCAACTTATTCCCATATATATAGCCTGCCCTAAGTTGAAGGAAAAAAGTTAAATGTATTTTGACTACCAGTAAGTAGTACATAACAACATCTAAAATAGGAATGAGTTATCAACATTAAAATTCAAGGAAATAAGTTTAATGTAACAATCTACTCCACAACTTCATACAGATACAGGTATGCATAACATCTCATATAAACCAGAAGTTGAAGGGCATTTAATAAATGGTCAAAATAGATTTTATTTTCACCCGGTACACTAAAATTTGATTCTTGGTCAGCTGTCATTTACTCTATTAATTATGTATTTATTATCTCATTTTCTTTATAATTCCTTAAATTATTACATTTGGCACAGGTATTGGACAAGTCATCATAAACGACAACATGGGTTCAAGATTTGGCGACGATGCACCAAGTCATTCATAAAAAAATGACATACAATAAGGATGGAACAAGATTTAAAACTGTAAAATGTCTTTTCTATCCTTTTTATCTGTTAAATCTATTAGACCACTGAATAAGTTATTCTCATATGGGACAAATAAAGAAAGTGAATCATACATAATGGAATATAACAAAAGTGGAGGAGCTTCCCAATTTGTGTTTGTCGTCTGCAGGTTTAGTGTAATTCTTTTTTTATTACAACTTGGTGAAATTGTATACTTTTATGGCTTTGTTAAAATGCATTTTGGCATGCTATCAGCTGGCATTAAAAGATGAACTAAATGGATAGAGGTAACTTTTTTTTTTGCTCAATGATTAAAACTATTAAAAAAATTTAATATCTTGATTGCATAGGACCGGCATTAATTTTCAAGTATGTAAATTACATGCTTAAACTTGCATATTGACAAAAAAATCCATAACTGCAGTTAATAAGTATATGTGATGCTTTTGGAATTCATCAGTCTGCTTCTAAGCAATTCGTTTTGACATTTACAAATCCAAAATTTGGGGGTTTGGCTTTTGATTCAATAAACTTAATCCAATTTTATTGGTATATTATAAACTGTAACTGCTGTTGTGAGCCTGAAATTGAAATGAATGCTTTGGTTTATTGTTTTTGTTTTCATAGAAAACATAAATGTAGAATTTCCAGTCTGATGCAATCTAATGATTTCTAAAAAACATTTCCTAGTTTAAGAGATAATAGTTACCATATAAGATATCAATAAATTTGAAACGAATTCGGATAAGAAAAAAAATAATAAACATATAAGATTTCAATAAATATGAAATATAATTACAAAATTAGATAAAATCATACGTAATTTAAGATAATAATCACCATATAAGATATCAATAAATTTGAAAAGAAGTTATCAGAAAAAAATATAATAAACATATAAGATTTCAATAAATATGAAAATATAAAACAAATTAATAAAAAATTAATAAACCAGTGTCTTATTTAAAAAAAAAGATGATAAGGGTATTTTGATCTTTTTGCAAAAACAGGAGTTAATTGAATTTTAAAACCAATGTCAACATTTTCATTGAATTTTGTCTCATTTATAAAATGCCACAAGAAGAAAAAAAAATAAAAATAAGTCTATACAATAAGTAGAGTCTTGAGGGTAAAATTGTCATTTACTATATTTACTAACCTCCAAGAATTGACACACCATTCTGGACTGTTTGAAAGCCAATACACCATGGTGTACCTTCATCATAACCACATGTGAAAAAAGTCAAACTTTTTGTTAACCAATCTTTAACCCACTCATAAATTTGTAAAAGAAGTGTAAATTTTGAGACAATTAAAGAACACTCACAACAGGATCCCCATGTACAAGGTAGTTCTCAAGTTTAAGAATCATGGAAGCACCACCAGCAAACTTTAAGGAAAAATCACATTTATACTGTTTATAAGCCAAAAAAGAAAAAAATCAGTTAAATGTTCTAGAAATGAAATGAAATAAAATATTAAAAAATTTTATATTTTCAAAAATACCCTTCAATAATATGTACTGTGATGGGACAAGGTAGTTCTCAGGTTTAAGAATCATGGAAGCACCACCAGCAAAGTTTAAGGAAACCTCAGGAAAAATCCCATTTATGTTGTTTTTAAGTCAAAAAAAGAAGAAGAAGAAGAAAGATCAGTTAAATGTTCTTGAAATGAAATGAAATAAAAAATTAATAAAATTAATAAACCGATGTCTTATTTAAAAATAAATGATAAGGGTATTTTGGTTTTTTTGCAAAAACAGAAGAGTTAATTGAATTTTAAAACCAATGTCAACATTTTCATTGAATTTTAAATCAATTATAAAACGCCACAAGAATAAATAAAATAAAAATAAGTCTATATAATAAGTGGAGTCTTGAGGGTAAAATTGTCATTTACTATATTTTAACTAACCTCCAAGAATTGGCACACCATTCTCGACTCTCTGAAAGCCAATACACCATGGTGTACCTCCATCCTAACCACACGTGAAAAATTCGAACTTTTTGTTACCCGATCTTCGACCCACTCATAAATTTGTATAAAAAATGTAAATTTCGAGACAATTAAAGAACACTCACAGCAGGATCCCCATGTACAAGGTAGTTCTCAGGTTTAAGAATCATGGAAGCACCACCAACAAACTTTAAGGAAACCTCAGGAAAAATCTCATTTATGCTGTTTATAAGTAAAAAAAAAAAGTTCAGTTAAATGTTCTTGAAATGAAATGAAAAGATCAAAAGGTCAAAAAGGATAAAACAGACATTTTGGAGGTACCTTGGTGTAACTAAATAACTTCCCCTTTGAGATGACAGGTGTTATTAATTGTGAAACAGCAACAGTTATCTTCAATCAAGACAAAAAAAACAAACACAAAATTCAAATGCTTTTTTTAGAGAAATTTTAAGAAAAAGTTAAAGCTTACAGAATTAACAAAAGGGTCAAAAGCTTCTGCAACAAGGTATGTCAAAGTTGTTCCTGTATCAACAATGGTTCCTTGGTTATCTGATGTGGCGAAAGCTGTTGGGTCAATGGTCAACATCGTTGACAGAAATACATTGTAGATCAAGATTGTAATGAGGCCTGAAAGATCAAGATAATATAAGATTACAAGATAAGAAAGTAACAATTACACTTCCATTGTGGTTTCTGTTGTATAATCAAAATAAAAGTTGCAAATTTTGATATTTCCTAAAATACCCTTCAATAATACGTACTGTGATGGGACAAGGGGACTATAAACCATAGTCAGGGCCAAAATATCACCAAGAACAAGCTTTTCACCACCCATTCCATATCCCTTTAAGCAATGTGAAAAGAATTGTGGAGTAATTCCTCTTGAAGACAATTGTGATACAATAGAAAGACCATTTTGCCCAAATCCAAAAATTCCATTGTTTGCTTTATCTGGTTTAGTCAAGCTACCTGATTGATAGGTGCTACACCTATTGCCAAACACCATTTTGGCACATATAGAATCATTAGGTCGTGCATTTCTGGCAGATCAGGAAAGCTTGTTGCAGAAAAGATTAAAGTGGAGATAGCTTCGTGGCACTCCTCAGGGCATTCCCTACAGGTGATTGAGAATTAATTTAAATTAAAATATCAAATGAAACTTTGAAGGTCTAAAAAAGTAAATCTTTTACCTCTGTTCAGCCATGGCTGAGAGATAATTTATAACATGATGACAGATTCTGCCCAGCATATAATTGTCCAACCTGTTATCATCAAATGAAAAGCAATAGAAGTGTTTTGAGATTACATAGAGAAAAGAATAAATCCCAAAAAAATTCAATCCCATCTCCATAAAGCATCAATGATCAATCTATCCAACCTCAAAGCGTGAATGTTTAAAATTATTATTAAAATAAAAGTCTTTTGAGATTATATATAAGGAAGAAAAGAATATTTACATTTCGATTTTTATACACCAAAGTGGCATTCATCATTTGTATGACGCAATCAAGCCTTCAAGAATTGGCTTGTTAGGGATACCAAATTGTTGTTATCCAATTAGGCCTACTATAAAACACAAATTACATAAATATAAAACTTCCAAATCAAACAGCCAAACATTCTTCTGGTTTGAATTCAATCAATCTATTCAAGTTCAACCGAAAGTCAAACCATATATAACACATGAAGAGAGCGTTCAGTGGTGCTGATTTGTATAAAACTTGAATTAAGTCTAACTCATCGTTCTATTTAACCCAAAAAAAAAAAGACAACTCAAAAAAACCAGGAAAAGAATAAGAAAGTTAAAGAAACAATTACCCTTTTGTAGGCAATGGAATCAAGCCCGTTCTTAAAAAGTCAGCAACATCGTTCCTCAAATACTTCTGCGTTTCATTCCTCTTTGTCATTATCAAATCAAGTCGTGTCTCCATCATCTTGTTCTGTGACTTGCTGATATCGCAAAGTCATCATTGCATAGAAGTATTGATAACTCGACGCTCTCGAATTGGCCAACATCATCGAAAATTTCCTGGAAGAAATCATTAAAATGGGCAAATCGGATGAGGAATTCGAAAATTGAAATTGATATGGAACAGGATCTGACGAACTAACCGTATTCCTGGAGGCGTTTGAATAGGCGAGGTAGATGCGAATTAGAGATGTTTTTTTTTGGCATGATCGAAGTAAAAAGTAACGGTTTTTATGTCGAAGGATAAGTAGGAAGAGGATATTTAATTTCTTTTTTATGTTTGTTTAGGTTACAGTTGTGTGTGTGAGAGAGAGAGAGGGAGAGGGAGAGGGGTACACGACGATGGAAAGAAGAGAGAAAGATGTAACGGTGTTTGAATAACCCTAACTTTTTTTTTTTTTTCTGAAACGGACAATCTATCTAATTTACTCCTAAATAATTATTTATGTCTCTACCAAGACTTGAATCTCTCACCTCTCATATGAGATGATCACTCCATACCGCTAGATCATTAGCCTTTTGGTGAATAACCCACAGTTAGGATTTCACCAAATAATCCAAGGGTGTAATGACTAATGAGTGGTCATCATCTCATTTTTTTAAGATTATAATTTAAGTTTCTTTTCATACATATTTATAAAGTTATCATTTTTTCTTAAATCTCATACATTTGAAACCCCCATAAAAATTTGTCAACACCTCATGCATTTGAAACCCCCACACCCTTTCACCTTCAAATAATAATCACACATAATCTCATTCCAAGAAAATCACACACTCTATAAGTTCAACACCTTATGCATTTGAAACCCCAACACCCTTTCACCTTCATTATATATGTAATTATATTAGTACATTTTTCATACAAAAAATCGTCATTTTGTTGAAGATATTATGATTCAAAAGTTTTCATATAGTTGAAGCATTCACAATCCAAATATGATGATTTGAAGAAATGGGTTATGTCGCATCGATGGTAATTGTAATATGATTTTTTCTTTCAACCAAAACAAATGAAGCTTTTTGTGACATCCCCAAAATCATGGCCAGAAAAGATCGGTTTCATTTATGGTTTTAAAATAATTTCAGAGTAAATCAATTGATTAAAAAGAGTTGCGGAATTTGTTCTCAAACAAAATATGATAAAATAATATTTATCAAAGCATTTCGTAAAGAAATGTATTTTCATTAGATAATCCAAACTCGGGATGTCATGTTCTGATACAGACACAAAAACATAAACGACATATTATAAGCCTTACAACAGTTATATACAACTACAAGCCTACAAACAAAACAACTTGATGATTCATCCATCTTATGCCTTGGCGCCACTACCTGTAATGCAAATAAGACTGAGTGGGTCGGGCTTGGGAGCCTGGTGAGCATATAGGGTTTTCAACCCACAATAAATAATTATATTTAATTTTACCAACCAATAATAACCCGATTACCCATTCCCGTTATCCTCACTTTACGTCCCTAAAACAACATCTATTACCAGGGACCTGATCTAGGATTTTCATCGGGATGGACATTACTGCAAAGGGGTTTCCTTGACAATAGATGTCCTAAAGGCAACCATGAGGGGGATAAAGTACACCGGTGAACACATCGTTCACAACACCTACAGGTTATGAACCTGCCAACGTTCCACTAGATTGTCTAGAAATAGTCCATGGTCGTCATCCATACTCCACTAGATGACAAGATCAACAACAACATCGAGGTCTCTCATCATTTTATTTCATCACACATCCACTATCTACCCACGTTCTACCCAACATCTTTGTGTATATATACATATATATATATATATATATATATATATATATATATATATATATGGGAAAAGTGAATATACCCTTAAGGGTATATAACCTTAGGTACCCAAACCCACCATAATACGCCGTTTTGTTTGATATATTCATTATAATGTTCTTAAACTTCAACCCTAACTTGATTTACTTTCATGATTTTTCGAAATTTCACTATTATCTTCATCTTACATTACATCTTTTTGCGGAACACCTACTAGACTATATATATGATAGTTAAAAATGAAAATTATGTAAGAGGAAGATAAATATGAAATGTATAAAAATCTTGGAAGTAAATCATGTTAGAAGTTGAATTATAAGAACATTGGACAATTACAATGTATATATATGATACAAAACGACGTAGTATTGTGATTTGGGTACCTAAGCTTATATACCCTTAAGGGTATATTCACTTTTCCCTATATATATATATATATATATATATATATATATATATATATATATATATATATATACACACACACACACACAACATAACACATGTATAAACATCCAATCAATACTTATTTTAAATAACACATAACATATATGCACACAGCACGTATTTTATAGAGAATATTTCGTATTTATGTGTTAGAAGAAAGTAATTACACACTCACCTGATAAGATGATGATCGGACAGCACCTCGTCTTTTAAATCTTTTCCGATAAAACCGGGACGTTTTCTCCAAAACCGGGATTTACGCGGGCAGAGTCTCGGCTCGGAAACTTTACTTCTCGGGATCCTCGGGGATTCGGGACTTGCTTCGGGTCTCGTGAATGATATCGGGGCTTTGAGGGTAAATCTTGCACGTAAAACGAGGTAAAACGGGAGAAAGAGGGAGAGGAAGAAATGAGCAACCAAATTCGGCAGCCCATGACTTCTATTTATAGGGGCTGAAACCCCGATTTACGTTGGGCGTAAATACTGATTACGCTGGGCGTAATGCCTCTACAAGCAGTACGTTGGACGTACTCTTCGGATCAGACCTAATGCATCATGACTTACGGACTAATGCACTCGAGTATTGGGTCAGGTCGATGTGGCTCATTCCGATCCATGCATATGTGTATGCTGGGCATACTCTTATTTCTCAAACTTCAAAAATCTGTATCTTCTGTATACGAGCTCCGTTTTTGACGTTTTTTATACCCACGCGTAGGTGAGACTATACTCTACAACTTTCGTTTAGACTCCATCGGCTAATTTTGACTTTATTTTTATTATTTATTTTTAGTAGGCCGGGACAGGAAAAACTTCGTTAGAAATTCATAACTTCTTCATCTGACGTCCGTTTTCATTTGTCTTTTCACCATCGAACTACTATCAACGAGATCTTCGATTCTCGTTTAGATTGTTTCGGCCAAATATCACTCGATCTCAATTTCGAGATTTGGGTTCTATATCACTAAGTCGAAACTTAGAAGAATCATAACTTCCTCATATGAGAGAAATAACACTTGTGGTTTATTAATATATTATAAGTTCTAATATATTAATAGTATTATTTAATTAGTATTGATCAAGAATTAATTTGGAATTAATTAAGTGATCAAAAGATAACTAATTAAATATATGGGTTGATTATGTAAATCATCCATAACTTATATAGTGGGCTAAAAGGCTCCATGGATTATCAAGTTGGGTTAAACCCATAGGATGCTCCATGGGAGTTACAAACTCATAGGTCATGGAAATGAAGAGTCATGTCACATTAGGGTTTACATGGTGTAACCCTAGATGTGACACGCTATATAAAGGACATCATACTCACCAAAATTGGCTACACACTAAGAACAAGAGAGGGCAAGCCGATTTATACAGGTGTTATACATACTCTAAGGTTATTCAAAAGCATTTGGTGTTATATGAAGCATTTGAGGCATCACACTTGGGGTGCTAGGCTCTCAAGGTTTTGAAGGAATCAAATCAACTACAAGGTATGTAATTCTAGCCAACTTTTAGATTAAAAGTTCCCCATGTATGCTAGATAGGATTATGAACCTTGGAAATCATATTTTGCATGTATTTTAGACAAACATATATCCAAGGTTTTCTAGGGTTGCATGTACACTTAGGAGTGTCAGAATGCTCATAACCCATCATCAACTTGCCGACGAAGAAAGATGCCAAGGAAGCGTCCCGACTGTCGCAACGGTCATTTGCGTTTGTGTACCCTCACTTCCTCCCCGCCATAATCAACATCTTCTTCCTTTTCTGTCCTTCGTCAGCCACACCACCGGTACCGCCAAACAAGTTGTCGCCTCCAATGTGAGTCATTGCCTTGTGATGCTGCTGCTGACGGCGCGCCGCCATTGTCCGCTACGGTGGATTTCGACCGTGATCCGTCGCCGTGTCAAGCAACGACCGTTGTGCTCTTCTTCTTCTACTTCTGCTGTTGAGGTTTTGATTAGCGATAATGGATTGCCACCATTTCCCCACCGTGAACGTCCCCATCTCTGTTTGCGGTCAAACGCATATGTTATCGCCACTGTCACCGTCGTTTTACGCCACCAGGAGGTGTGGTTGAACTCGTTCACATCCAGAAGTGTTTTGTGGTGTTGTGTTCGATTGTGGTGATGGTATGTGGCTGTTGGAATGACTTTTGGCCGGAAATCCAGAAAAGACCCCACTGCCACCACTTGCCACCGTCAGCCGCTACAAGGTGGTTTTGTGTATGTGTGTGTGCTTAGTTGTGTGTGTGTTATTTTGGGACTATATCCTTATAAAATGTAATAGAAAGTGAAATAATGAAAGAAAGGAACCCTAACCACCATCGTGAGGATGGTGGCTGTCGCCTCCTACCGCCACCAACCACCGTGTTGGGTGGCGGTCTGCTTTGTTGTGTGGACTCGTTGGGGTGTTGGACAATATGGGCCCAATGAAGCCCTAATGAGCCTAAGGACTTAACTTTAGGCCTAGTCGGATTGTATTGGGTTTGGAAAGCCCTAAATGCCATGAAACCCTAATTTTGGGATTGATTGGGACATGCTTAGTGTAACACCAGTCAAATTTAAGTCAAAAATAAATTGTTCAATAACCTTAATTGGGATAAATAAATTAGTAGAGATCTTAACTAGGTTTTCAAAAATATAAAGAACACTGAAATCCGAGTTATAACGAAGAAGTTATGACCAATCGAAGATCCGCAACAAAACCGGTAAAATATTGTTAAGGGTAAAATATGAAATTTCAATAAAATACTTTTCAACCTTAGGTATCTAAATGAAAGTTGTAGGTATCATTAAACCATAAACGTACACAAAAGGAACGCCCAAATCTGACTTCATATTAGGAAGTTATGATTTTTCGAAGTTTCAGACATAGCATTAGATAGCTAAAAACTCGAAATAGAGATCGAGTGATTTTTAGTCAAAACGATCTAAACGAGAATCGAAGATCTCACCGATAATAATGCAACGGTAAAAAGACAGACGAAAACGGACGTCAGATGAAGAAGTTATGGATTTTTGACGGAGTTTTCCTATCTCGACCTACTAAAAATAAAT